CTTGCTTATAACTTATAATGGTTATAATGGTGTTTAATCGCAGATTAATTAATAATGTAACATTTTGACTCATTAAAACCCACTAATATGCATTCATTTGAAAATTGACTAAAATGTTACAATTTTGAGGTATTTTATTTAAGATTGTTATCTATTTTATTTAATTTTTTTTTTGGATTTGAAAGAATGACACATGTCAAAAGGAGAGATGCCACGTGTCATCCTCATTAGAGTTTGGTTTTGAAAGAATCATTACTTTATTATATAAGAAAGAATTCAAAATATAAATATATATCATATCTTACCATTATGTGAATCAAATAGACTTCTTATGAATGCAATAGCCTACTGCATGTATATTAAAATTTAGATTACCTTGTAAACCTACAAAGTTGAATAAGAAAAAAGTTAGAACTACATTAGTAGTATAAAACATTGTTATAGAATTTATAAAATTTTCTAGTACTTAAAATATGATGGATATTAGAATGTGTATATTGCTTGTAACTTATAATGGTTGAAAGGTGTTTAATGGCAGATCAATTAATAATGTAACATTTTGACTCAATAAAACCCATGCATTCATTTGAAAATTGACTAATATGTTTGATTTCTCGAGTAATTACCCGATATATCTAACCGTTAGGTAGTATATTCGATCCGATGTCGATCCACAAGGACCAAAAATACTCTAAGGATTTCCGAGACTCGTTCTTAGATAAAGCGAAGAAGGTTTTTTTTGTTTGGGTTTTCAAGCAAAGTAATCAAATAAACAATGAAATAACGATTGATTAAACGGTAAGATAAAAGCAGTGGGTCTTAGGAAATTTCTCAGGGATTGAGGAACAAAACGAAATCAATCGTTCTAGAACATGGATCACGAAAATAGACTAATCCTCTCTCAAGAAATTAGCCCCTAAACACGAAAATCAACAATTACTAAACTTTCATTTGTAATCATGAAATCAAATTAGCATTAAACTCAAGTCCAATAAGTTCACAACACTTTCTAACATCAACTCTCGTTGGCTAGAAGAATGTTGCTCATCTCAAATTAATCCAGGCATTTTATCAAACATTTTTGGTGCGTAAAACAACATAGGTTCTCAAATCAGGTGATCAATCTAATTCAAGCATTAAACGCATTCAAGATGAAGAAACCAACATGTATTATCCAATAACCTATCATTCAATTTACCAATCCATCAACCCTTTTTATGAAATCCCTAACATCCAACTAGGTGACTACTCACTCATATTGAAAAGAACAACACAAAGAGATGAAGAAGACATCGTAGATAAATGATAATATATGCGAAAAAGGATTAGAAATCCTCTCCAAAGTGTCAACGAGGATGAATCTCCAATCGCAAAGTTGTGGCTTACAGAAGAACTCTAAAAAAGATGCCGAAAAGAAAGCGTGAATAAGAAAATTAGGTCTTTGGGATTTTTATACCCAATTACAGAAAATAGGAAATAAAACTGGTTAAGGAAAACCAAACTAGGCGTCTGGGGTTGGATCGATCGATCCGGTGGGTGGATCGATCGATCCCGCATCACTGGAAACTGCTTCTCGTCCGTCAAAGGGATGGGATCGATCGATCCACTTGTGGCGAGCATTTGAAGTGTAAGCTAACATATTCATCTAGCTTGTGTCAAAAAGTCAGAAAGATCTAACGGTGGGAAGTATTCCATCCGAGGCCAAACGTTTGATACTTTTAAACGAAACTACATCTCCAAAAGTGTGTTTATATCCCAAAACAGGTCGTTTTTCTCCAAAGCAACTTAAAACCTGTAGATACTCGATAAAGGAGTAAAAGATTCTAAAACACACTTTGACTCTATAGAACATATGATCTAGGAAAAAAACAGAGACTCAAAACCGATAAAAACACAACATATCAACTTCCCCCCCCCCCCCCCCCCCCCCGCCCCCCCCCCCCCCCCCCGACTTAGATCTTTGCATCAAGAGAAGAGGTTTGAAAACACGAGAACTCACATTTTCTTCGGGATCATGCTCTTATCAATTGCCTGCAAACCACTATCACAAAACTCATCAAACCGTAGTTCGCCATAACCGTAGCAATAAAATTAAGTCCCGAGATCTAAAATAACTTTTAGAATCAGATAACTTAACCTTAATTTCGGATGACAAAAAAAAAGATAACTTAACTATTTAACATTCACTAGGTATAAAACCCGCGCTATGCCGCGGGATATTGTTTGCAAATTATTTTTATTACTAATGATTTTTTCTCAAATTAAATTTTTGCAGCACCACTATGAAACTTTTTTTTTTTTTACTCAATGAATGTTGTTGTTTCTTCGGTAACAAAAAAAAATATATCCAAACTTGAATTTAACCAGTAAAAATATATATATAAAAAGTTGAAAAGATGCAGAAGATATAATAGTTTAAATTCATCTTATTAGACATCATTTACAAACTCCCACTCAGCTTTGTTTTTTTCTCTATGCTCCTAAACTTGCTATTAACGTTTATACACTTCTAATGGGTCGGTTTATTCTGACTCGGACCCACTCTAAACATATAGTGTTTCTCTCTTTCTCATTCATCTCACCAAAGATCTTTCTCAACGACGTACTTTGAAAAGATCCAAAAAACTAAATACATTATGTTTTAAGTTAATTTTGTTTTCTTATGTAGACATATATATTTTTTTTAAAACATACATTTTGTGATACACCATACTTGAATCAATTCCTTAGAATTCAGAATCACTAAACACTACTTACAGGTTATAGCACAAGTGGACTTTGTATTAAACTTCCATTATCTTTTCATATCTTGAACTTCAACAAAATTCACATAACGGAATTTTAGCTTTCTTTGCAGAGAGAAAAAGATTGAACTCATTCTAAGTTAAACTATGTCTCAAATGTCAAAAGGAGTATACTTCCAATTAATAAAACAATGACAAGAGTTTTGGTGCAGTGCTTGAAATTGTTTCCTTGAAATTAAGAATTGCAAAACATTCTCCATGGTACAAAGTACATTATTCTATCTTCAAGTTCAACAAAAAATCACAACATTTTCTCAGCCTAGAACTCCAGAGAGAGACAAGATTATTTTAGTTATGTCGTGTCCAATAATGAACTTAACTCAATGCTTCATAACTATTGAAAATTTCTGCTTATGATAGAGAGGATAGTGTTAAAACTTAAAATTATTACTTGCATATTGAAGGCAACCATTTGAGCACCATAAATCGATCCAACGAGAGGATCATAGTTATATGAGTCGAACCGTGTTGTCTTGGGATATATCCTCAAAAGATTCCACTGCGTGAACTTTACTAAATCAGGTCCACGAGTTTTAGCCAAAGTCTCAAGCCACTGCTCACTCATGCTTAACCGTATGTCTCGGTTAGGATCTCCATTCAAGCAGTTCTTCAACCCTCCTTTGTGGTTCCCAGCGTGAATCGAGATGAAGTCTCTGTATTCGATCGCTGCACTCTCCACATCTTTTTCTTGAACATGTTCTTCTGCATCTGTCACAACACAAGACTCTTAAAAAAAATCAAGACACACTAATGGTTACTTTAACTCTGTTTTTTCTTTCTTACTTTAGCTTTAATGGATTCATCCGTTGTTGAACCTTGAGAGATTTGGGTCTGAAGATACTCTTTTGGTGGCTTTGTTGAGATTAAGATCTTAATCTTAAGTGATTCAGGTGAAGGGAAACACTTTTATTATTCGTCCGTACATTGAAACAATGATCCTCCAAACATCTTACTCACCACCTACAAACATTTTCACCATCAATCAAACTCAGTGTTCTAAAAAAGATTATCACAGTACAATTCAACTACACCAATCCAAAAGGACCAAAACAATGATGTTAATCAAAATCAACAAGAAAATCACAAACACAATTGTTTGGTGCATTGCTTGAGATTGTTTCCTTAAAATTTAGAATTACTAAATAACAATCACAAAGCATGGGTCAATTCATACATTTTTAGCCTTCAATTATAGAGTAGTGTACAATGACCTTAAATTCAATGGCCTACATGCAATGGAATTTCACACGTTGCTATTTAGCTCCATTGATGTTTCTAGCCTACCGACCAATTATTATGTATTTAGTTAAACAGAAGGTGGAAGATACAATTATTATGTATTCCAAAGATTCTTACAGAGGCTATTACAGAGCAATCAAAAGTGGCGACAGATTGGAGCTTTTATCGAATTGACATGAAAAACAAACTCACCAAAACTTAAACACTCAATGAATTTTGGAAATTAATGGACTTAGACGAACTGGACCTAAGGATTGATCGGATCGCCCTTCGTCTTCGTTATCTTGTGAAGAATTCTAAATCGAGAAAAAAAATGAAGATGTAGGTGAGACCGTGAGAGGACGACTGAAATAAAAAATACAATAAAGCTCACTTCAGAATGAGAATAAGCCCACTTCTGAATAAGAAAAGCCCAAGATAATGAAATAAGAAAAATGATGTGGAACAGAGAAAGATTCTTACTAGATGAAAATGCTGAGTTGTATTATTTAAAATGTTTTCATTGGACGACGATTTTAATGACGTGTCAACCTGAGAACATCCCAAAAAGCTGAGGTGTCAGACTTGGAGAGATCCTTATTGTTATTATTGTATTGATTAACAGAGGCGTGTACTCTGATAAAGGGGGTATCACACACGTTATGGGCTTGGTAAAAAAGCTAATTTTTGGTGGCTTGATAGTAGGTTTTTAAGTAGTTCTCAATTCCTCAAAACACTATCATGTCATTGTTGTACTTAACATATGTAAACGCTATTTATGTTAGTTTGATAGTTTCTTAGTTGTTTGAATTATCGTTCTATGTTTTCAATTATTTCTTAATTCAAATTGGTGGTTATTGAGCTAAATGGCCATATTTATAAATAAATAAAAATTAAATACATCTTGGTTAATTAACGAAACAATATTCGTTCCAATTTTATCGTATTATATATTCGTTCTTTGTTTTGCGAGAAAAGCCCAATAAGGGCCTATCAAAAAAAAAATCTGGAAATTGTTCATCGTCGGTACGACGGAGAAAACGTCTTTCAAAGACGAATTGAGGCGGTGGAAGAATCCAATTTGATCTTCAAAGAAGTGAAGAAGAAAGAGAAGCAATTGAATTCGCTGAGGATGTTGTTAGGGTTATTTGAATCATCACAAGCCCAAAGATTCTGTTATCGATTGTCGTGATTTGTAGAGACGAAAGCAGAGAAAATGGGAGGCGAAGATGAGAAAGATAAGAAATGGAATCCTCCGCCGCCGCCGCAGAAGGCGGACTTAAAGCTTTGGGGAATCCTTGCGTTTACTGTAATTGGCGCAACCGCCACCACTTTCGCCGTGAGTCAAAATTTATAACTCAAAGATTTGTTTTGTTTTTGTTGAATTATCGAAATTGTGATTAAAGTAGTTTCTTGGTGTGAAAATAGTTGAATTTTCGGGTTTATGTGCTCATAGTCGACGATTGACGGTTGAGAAATGATTAGCTTTAGAGTTTGATGAGGTTATTGTTGATTCATTTTACTTGATAAAGTGACTTTCTCAGTAGTTATTTTGTGGAAAATTATAGGCTCTGATTGGTGATATAAAGTGTCAATTTCATAAACTTTTTACTTTACGCGAGATCAATCTTTAATGATAGGTTTTAGCTGCGTCAATGTATCGAATTTTGATTGAGAAGTAGCTATTTTGTGTGAGAAATAGCTTTGTTTTCTGTGCTTTCGTGCTCATAGTCGAGGATTGATGGTTGAGAAATGATTAGCTACCGAGTTAGATCAGGTTCTAGTTGAGTCATCTTTAGAGGCGCTTATTGGTGGTTGTGTTCATTGTGAATGATAAAGTGACTTTCACAATAATTATTCGATGGAAAATTTTAGTCTCTGACTGGTGAAAGGAGGAGATTATGGATTGGTGTTGTAAATAAAATAATAATCTGTGGGATTGAACTGCGGAATGATTAAGCGAGAGAAGCATAAATTCACTAGAAAAACTGATTTCTTTGTTATGTTGTCGTGAATTAATCTAAGAGGCGGTTTTCCGAAAAGTGTGACTGTTAATATAACCTATGGAGTCACAGAATCATTGTATTTTTTTGTTCTCTGTGGGTTAATCTTGTGGTCTGTTTGTTTTGTTAAACTCTTTGTGGGACTGTAGTGTCTGATACTTCTATTGTTTGGTAGGTTCATCAGCTGCGAAGAAGTTTTGATTGGGTCTATACCCAGGTGAATAAACCAACTATTTCTCTGAGATAATATCTTATAGCAAGTTTTCTATTTCCCAGTTAAGATTATCAAATAGATATTTAAGAAATCATGATATCTTGATTAGTGCATTCCAATATCATTGTCCATGTTTTCCATTAGTCATTTTTTTCCCGTTATAATTCATGTTAGTGAATCACATTATCCAGATTTAGCCAAGCAGCTAACTTTTGTAATTTTGTCATTAAAGGTAGCTAGATCACAGTCAGCGCGGAAAGGAGCGAAAGGTGGTTCTTTCCGAACAGCTTATCAGGAGGAAGCATGGAGAAGGTACAACAAACGGATGCAAGAGGAGTATGAGGATGAGTTGGAGAGAGTGGTAAGTCTAGTTGACCTTCTCCTACTGAAAACTCACGTTGCCAAGACAAAGAAAAGAACATTGTCAGTGTTCTACATGTAAGCTGTGTAGGCATTTCACAAGTTAGTTTGATCTAACTAATATCTGGAGTTACTCTCAAAATTTCAGCACCCATGCATTTTGGTAAACCGTTTCATCTAGATTTAAATCGCCGCAGCATATTTCCTCACTGATGTTAAGATTGTAACACCAATGAGAATGATTTTAAATTACTTTTAAGATACATCTCCTCCATTTAATCCATGATTTTGTAGAAACCTGTTATTGGAGTGTAGAAATCACTTGAACATGCGTTCAGATCTGTTGATGCTCTGTTGCAGGAACGTATTAGGCGTATGCAAAGCGTTTTCAACAGAGAAAGGAATAAATTTAGGAGGGGCTATGAGAACTGGAAAGAAAATGATCCTGGTGCACAGCAATACCATCAGCAGTTTCAGCGACATGATTGGTACTGGAAAACTGAGTCTTCGCATAGAAACCAAAGAACTAATCACCAGGAGCCTCCAGACCAGAGAAGAGTATATCCATTATCACACCATTACTCGGTTTTAGGGCTCAGCAGGTAATGTTATTGTTTTTATATTGAAACGAAATGCAGACACGGCTCACACAGTGTTAATTATCCATGGCTCTAGCTTCTCACTATATGTTGCAATAGAGATGAAGCTGAAATGCACTAGAATAATATAAATAAGTAGGAGGGAGAACTGATTAGGATCTGTGGATCATTGGGATGGTTGGGAGCCTTATGGCTTTGGGGGAGTTAAAAATGCCCTTGGGTTGTTCTTGGTTCTGGCTCTGTTGCTTCTTAGTTTCGGTCATTGATATCTGTTGTAATTGCTGATTTTAGGTCAATTGAGAAACAAAATTCAGAGTCTGAAACTATCAGAAGGTCGTGGAGTTTTGGTTTTAGTGAAATATAGATGGCTCAACATAATTAAATGGGTCAATAGCAAAGGGTCAGCTTTTGTTCCCATATAAAAATCTGAACTAAACATGGTTAAATGAGTTGATGGTGCGCAATATTCATGCTATGGTAATCAGTATGTTAATGTAAACCAAAACAGCTAATCGTTTAGTCAGAATTTGAAGTATATTTTGATTCCTTCTCTACAATTAACGGGTGACAAGTTGAGGTAACTTAATGCAAGTTTTGATTTTGTGTTGTAGGTCCCGAGCAACTCCATACACAGAAGCTGAGATTAAGGTAAGCATGCCAAGAATTTTTGATGCAATAATGCCCACCTAGTCATATGGTCATTTCTTAGTTGTATAAGATACTGATGCACAAGTAGTAGTATGTTTTGATTCGGATTTGTTGTACATTCAGAAAGCGTTCAGGGAAAAGGCTCTGGAATTCCATCCGGACCAAAATCAGGATAACAAAGGTACGTTGTCGTAGGCTCTATGCGGATTCCGCCTCACCACCTTAACGATTCTTTTATCTTACCTGGTGGGATTTACATCGATTGTTGCAGTTGTAGCTGAAGCAAAATTCAAAGAGGTGTTACTTTCATATGAAGCTATAAAAGAGGAAAGAAAAGAGAAGTGATATTTTTTGTGAGCGAGATCAAACTCTTTTTCATGCGCTCTAAAAAGAACTTGGAATACAAATATCAATGAACAAAACAGGTTTCTATGGGTATCTTCCCATTTCATAGGTTAATTTAATAGTCTTCTGGTTTGTTTTTTTACGCAATTAAGGTTCTTTGTTGTAATTTTGTAATAAAACCAATCCTCAGCTTAAATATGTTGAAATGAGGTAAAGCATAAAGAAGAAGAGAATTTGGGACAGATGGTCCATTAATTATATAGTTACTTACCTGATGATTGCTGGAGCAGTAGACGTTTACTAGAACTCACCATTGGGGTATTTATTTACAGCCGTGCCTACTCTCTGGTGAACGGACATAATCGAGAGACCACTTGTTCTACGCATGTCCATACTCGTTTACTGTATGGAACTACTTATGTGCCATGATCGGTCACTCGATCACCCCAGACTGGAACTACAGTCTTCATTCGCTCGTCCATTCTCGCAAATCTGCACATGATTATGCAATCATTTGCCTTGCCTTTCAAGCTTCCATTTACCATATTTGGCGAGCTCAAATCATTGACAAGGTTATCCGTCATCGTATCATCATCTCTCGTCACAAGGACCTGCCGGAAATGAGGAGCCCCTCTTTCAACGCTGGTCTAATGTCTACTGTCATGGTAGCATAATCTTTCATGATCTGTTTCTTATTTTATGCTCTGTTTCGCCTAATTCTGGTTTGTTTTTTTTTTCTTTCACTTATGCATTAGCCCTCAATTTTGTTAATCAAATAAATATCACACATTTCAGAAGAAAAACAAACATAACCTACACGCTTCGAAACTTTTACAAATTAGTATGGTTGGAAATAGGATATTTTATTATATTGTAAAAATATAAATTAGTCGATAAATTATAAACTAATATTTTACTGATTTATGAAATATATTTTTAAAAAGTGATGTGATATGAGATTTTTATTAGTATTTAGAAAGATAAAAGAATTTAAATAATTTAATCTTGAAGTTATTAATGTTTTTAAAGGATTGTTGTTCATTTAAACATTTTGTGGGCTCAATTTTTGAAAATATATGCATTTTTGGGGGTTGAATGGTTCAAAAAACTCGACGCAGAAAGAAAAGAAAAAAAAAAAAAAAAAACCCTCTCGACGAAAACCTAGTCTCCAGCCGCCCAATTTTTCGATTTTTCCGATTTGCCCTCCCCGGCGGCCGGGCTTCTCGACGGAGCTGTGGGAGGGTCTTAGATCTTTGCTTTGCTTCTTAGTTTTGATTTTTAGCTAGCCTTCTTCGGTGGTTCAAAGGTAAAGCGATGGTGGTTGTTTGGTTGGTGAAGAATCGGTGGATGGCTGGCGGCGGAGGTTTCGTGGCCTCCTTTCTCGTGTTCTTTGCTTCATCTCCCTCGTCTTCTTTGGATTTCTTAGCTTAGATATGTTGATTTTGGTGTTGTTGTGGCCTTGTCGTCATATTCCTCTTTGAAGAGATGAGTGTTTGAAGGAGGAGAAGCCATCGACGGTGACGCCTGTTCGTGGTTAGTGACGGATTCGTGTGGTATGCGGATTTGTCAAGGTAGTGGCTCAGTTCTGGTGGTGGTCCTGTGGCTGGTGGTTTCATGGAGATGGACACGTGGCTCAGCTCTGGTGGTGGTCATGTGGCTGGTGGTTTCAAGGAGAAGGACTCGTTTCGTTTCTTGGTCTGGTATTTTATTTCTCTCATCTCTCTCTTCTTTGGTTAGTGTTTCTCGACAAGGATTGGTTAGTAGTTTGGTTGGTTGAGGGTAGAAGCCTTAGTTTCAAGTTTAGGGATGGCAATATTGACTCCTAGTTCTGCCTCCTGTTACTTTCTGCCCGGTTATTGGGGTTATGAGTTTGTGAAGGTTTCGTTTTGTGGGTTCTTCATTTGGATGGTAGTCTCCTGCAAAGGCATCTACTAGCTCTCTTCCTTTTCCTTGTTTGGAATTAAGGTTTGAGTTCAAGACGATGTGGTAGGCTCGGTCTCTATTCCTTCTCTTGCGTGGCGTAACCAGTTCTTAGGCTGTAGATGGTTTTGGCTGGGTCTACGAATGTCCGCGTGTAAGGTTTGTTGGCCCTCTTTGGCGTTTTCCCCTTCGGATCTCAAGGCTTCTCCTTGTCCCTTGTTGGGGTCGGATTCCATCCTTCGGCGCCGAGCCAGACTTAGAGCACCTCGGGAGCGTTCAGAGATCACCTCGGGGCGTCACACCATCCACCTCGGGTTATCCATCAGTTTAGGGTACCCGAGCCCATCGCCTCGGGGGTACCCGAACAAGTCCTTCCTGGGTACCCGAGCCCATCGCCTCGGGGGTACCCGAGCCAGTCCTTTCTGGGTACCCGAGCCCATCGCCTCGGGGGTACCCGAGCCAGTCCTTTCTGGGTACCCGAGCCAGTCCTTTCTGGGTACCCGAGCCAGTCCTTTCTGGGTACCCGAGCCCATCGCGCAAGTTCCCCGAGGCGAAGTTTTCATCATCACCCGAGGCAAAGACTTAGTAAATATTCGTTCTCAAAGTACCATTTCGAAGCAAAGGCGTCATTTCCGAAAAAGAGGGATCATTCCCGAGAGACCCGGAAATGATAAAGGAGAATCTCGAAGGATCAACTCAAATCAGGAAATCTTCCAAGGAACTCCGAAGAATAAGGAAATTATCCTAAATCCGCGATATTCTAAGCCGACTTCAAGATAAATGGAAATCTTCCGAGAATATCGCTGGAGAGGCGGTTTACCATCCCTATATATAGAGAGTCAAGGCTCTCACAGAAGGACAGGCAATATCGCTCTAGAATTTATACTACACAAAGCTCTTACAGCACAAACACCTTTTTCTTTCACGATCAAACTCTTGTACGATCAAAGCTATTCTTTTCATTAATAAGATCAAGAACACCATCTTTGGTTACAATTGTTTCTGTTGTTCTTTGAGAATTCACGTTTATCGTATCCCTAAAATAGAACCCTAGACAAATCTTGATTGTGTTAGTTTCGACTTCCACATCCCTTCTCCTGCTTGTCTTCTCTGGTTTCTGGTGTGGTAGTGATGGTTAGGATCTGTGCTCTGATCCTCTTTTATCTGTGCTCGTTTCTGCTCGGGGAGTGGTTTTGTGAGCTTGGTTTTGTATCCTTCTCGGGCCTTTCATGTAAAGGCAATCTAATGATGGGTCCTCTCGTTGCTCCTGTTTGTAACCACTTTCCAGCGCCCAAAATGTTCTATGGAAATGTTTGTCGGATTCTTTTCGTGAAGAGTTTGCAGTTGTGTTACTTGAGTTTTAGATATTCGCATTTCCCTGTACTTTAAGGTTTTCCTTCTTTTATGTCTGCCTTTTTTGGCCTTTGTCTCTGGGGGTTTCCATGTACCCGCCGGCTTAGTTTTCCGGGGGTTAGAGTCCCGCCGGCGTTAGTATTTCACCATGTATCTCAACTTTGTATTTCTCCCTTGGTTATATTTCATGAATTATTCAGACGAAAAAAAAAAAAAAAGGGGGTTGAATGGTTTGGACATTTTTGGTGAAAGATAATTTACGATTTTACCCATGAACTTTTAATTAGCTACAATTGTTTATGCTTAACTTCGGTTTTTTGGTTTTTGGCCGAAAAGCACCTTCATCAAAGTTGAAAGGAGACATATTTCGATTGCAGACCGAAAGCACATTTCTAAGAGGTGAAAAACCAACGTCGAAATCATAGATCAGTTAGAACTTTTGTCGAATTGTTGGTGGATTGAAGTCGGTTTTTTAGAGAGAAGAAAAAACCAATTTTATCGAGCAACTATTGCTAGAAGATAGACGAGGTAGTGGAGAATTTGTTCATCAGATGTCGTACATGCAGAATCGTCTGCCATGGATCTGAGTGTTACGAAGAGAGCTGCATTGTGGAATCGTTATTCGTAGAAGTTGTTCACCTTAATCGTATATATTGTAGATAGTCTAAATCATAATAGGATTAGATCAAATATTTTTAATGATCATATAATAAATAGAAAAAAAAAACTATTTAAATTTTTAAAACTCGTTGACATTTGTACGTAGTTCTTCTCTTCCATTAACATTCAATGCATATGTCATATTCATCAACTAAATTATAAACATTTAAATTTATTTAATGTGTGATTTAGCATATCAATATTCTTTTTTCCATAAACTAATGTAAAAGGAGAGTTTGGTGATGGTTTTCCTTTGAAGCCAAAGCAATTTGAATAATCTATGCAGTCTGAATCCAAAAGACGGCCTTACAATACAAGTCTAAACGTGGCCTTCCACAAACTATCACCGACATAAGTTATTTTACAAAATCAAAGCAACCAACCATTATACTTACAAATGCCACGAGAAGATAATGAAAATTTTATATTTGATAATGCAGTGCGTCGTGTTTCCTTTGTATGAACACTCAAACTAAATATGTCATTTCTTAAACAAAATTTAAATCTCGGAATGAGAAATTATAGCCTCTCTACGAAACTGTGTATAAACTATAAAGCTTCATATTTTTTTTTAAAATGGAAGCCTTCGTAAAGTTAGTAATTCTATAAATATAATTAGGAAAACGGTAATTTTAAGTTATAATTTGAGAAATGGATAGTTTGAAAGAACGATTTTACCTTATGAAACATAATGAAAGTATAAAAATATTGAATTGAGAAAGATTTAAATTAACATGATGTTAATATATGGTGTATATTTGTGAAATAAAAGTATAAGTTAGTCCAAATTTGATTTCATAATATCCGTGCAAATTTTGTAGTTTCATATTCAAATGAGCGATTATTTTTGTATTAATGCATTTGTACTTTTATGAGTGTCAAAATTTTCGAACAATTTCATTTTGTGTGCCTTGCATTGGAATAAGAATTGCATGTTTTGACAGACCGAGTCGTAAAGGACCGCAATTGTTAAAATCAAATTCTAACATGTTCCAGCATATGACTGTGGGTTTTGTAGACCAACCCGTATATTCTTAAAGTATCAAATATATATATATATATATATTCAGTTAAGTGTTATATTTTGAATATTTCTACGATTATGTATAAATTTACAAAATTATTTAAACAAACTATATTTTTTATTATATAGATGATGTGGCGATTTTTGTTTTACATATATACAAATAAAAGAAAGATGACTGAAAATATAATGATCAAATAGAAAAATGTTTTGTTGTTATTAGATTCTAGAAATT